GCCGTTGAGTTGTCAACCAATAAAGAAATGAGAAAAGAATTCATCAAACTAAATGTTGAGATCGATCGGGACCGGTCGGTTTCGTTCCCGACTTTCCTATATGTGGGACCCAGTACCCTACTTGGGTTGTACTAGGTTCGGTTCCAAAGTGGGACCGTACTTTCGGTCTTTTGGTCGGTCAAAGAACTGAGTGAAAAAATTGCATGAACATGTTTTTAGATTTGCAATTACTTAGTTGCATTTTCCCCGTGGATTCGACCCTTACTTGAGCACTGTACTACCGTGATTCGAATTTCTTAGGGTTATCTTGTCATGGAGGGGGATGTTGGTATGCTTGGTGAGTGAAAGGGGATTTTGAACACTTGTTGTTGAATTTGATTTCTTGATTTTAATTTTCCTTGAGGACAAGCAAAATGCCAGTGTGGGAGAGTTTGATAAGTTAGAATTTGTGATTAATTTTTGTCACAATTCTATACTTATTATTTGCCTAATTAAGAGGTTTGAGTTATATTTTGTGTTAAAATATTTTTTTTACAGGTGAGAATTCTAATGGAAGGATTTGAGGATTACATGGGTTGATTTTTGAGGATTGAGGTCTGATTTACAATTGAAAGAAAGTCCATAATTTAAAGCCCACTTTAGAAGACCAAAATGTTTGCTTTGAAGTTTAGTAAAGCAGCCTTCCTAATTTTTCTTTGGAACGACAATTCTAAAATCAAAGAGAAACAAAAAGAAGAGTTCAAAGGGGCTAGGATTCTAGAACGCAAGGAACTTTTTAAGGGCTAAACGGCTCCACAAATTGGGCTCCTACTCTGGAACGGCAGGAAATCTCAGGAGTTAGAGCGCTGGAAACGGCTCTAATCCTTCGATATAAAAAAACAGCAGCAAGGGTTTTTGGAGGAGGTAGGATTCAACAGCGAAGAGTGAAGAGCCGAGGCCTGAGAGACGGAGGCTGCTAAGCCGCTCTACGTAGAAGAAGGACGAAGATCCGTTTACCAGAAGGAAGGGCAGAAGCCTGGGGACGACGCACAGTTCTTCTGGACTTCAGGCTGCAACTTTCTGGGAAGAAATCGGTTACTGTTTTAAAACTTTCTGGTTTGATTCAGCAATAATTCCTTTTTCTTCTTGATTTGTACGTTACTTCTCTTGATATCAAACTTGCTTTGGTTTAATTATTTGGGAATTGGCAGCAATTTTATTGATCGTCAAGATGTTGAGAATGAACTCTTTAGTTATTGTTATTTTACGTTCAGCCAGTTTTAATATGAGTAGCTAAATTCTTTAAGTCCTGGATTATGATGATGTTGCTATGATTTAGTATGAAATTGTGATTTTAGTTAGGTCAATTGATTGAGTTTTATCCATTGTTCTTATTCGCTTAATTGATTATGTTAATTTCTGGCCAACTTTAGTATGATTAATTAAGTTGTTTGAGTGGATTAATAGAGTACATGTCATGCCTATTAGTTCGAGCTCTTTTGGATAAAAGAATAGATAATTTAGCTGTCTTGTTAGGTTATCTATTTGGTTCTTAAATCGGGTTTCCGTAGTTCTTTTGTGACTAATGGATTTTAACTATTGGATTAATAATTTCTAATTGATTAATAGTTAAAATACGTGACTTATTCTGGACGTCATACGAAATAGTCATATTTTTGTCTAGAACGAACCCTCAAATTCAATTGACTAACTAAATCGCAAATACTAAAGATTAGTGACTGATTCATAATCCCGGACTATCTTTTCTCTTGCTGAATTCTCAATCAGTTTTCTCGTTAGTTGTTTAATTATTTTATTTTTATTCAATTAAATTCCTTGCATTTAATTTAATTCAAGTTCTACCTTTTCAGTTTCAAATCAAACAAATTCAAAACTCATTTTTTAGTTAGATTACTTTCACTTATATTTTTATTAATAGTTTTCCAATCACTTAGTTGCATTTTCCCCGTGGATTCGACCCTTACTTGAGCATTGTACTACCGTGACTCGTGCACTTGCGAGGACTTATAAATTGTCTATCAATTTTTGGCGCCGTTGCCGGGGATGTTGTGAAACGAAAACAAAAGGTCATAATTAGTTGATTTGGTCTGGTGGTTGATGTTTAGAAATCAGCGTGCATGCTTTTATCATGGCATCTAGGGACATGGCTGATCAGATCCTTATAGCACAGGAAATGGTTCATTGCTTAGACAAGAAGATCAGAGGGTCTAATATAATAATTAAGCTAGATATGGCAAAGGCTTTTGACAAGCTATCTTGGTCCTACCTTACTGAAGTCCTATCCAGATTTGGTTTTTCTGACAATTTTATTAATCTTGTCATGAACAACCTTAGGTCTACCTATTTATCTATTACTCCCTCCGTTTCTGAAATAAGTTCCACCTTTCCTTTTCGGGCAGATTCAAAATTAAGTTCCACTTTCAAACATTTCCTTATTTGGCAAATTATCTACATCAAAACAGTGTGAAATAGTGTTCAAACAGTGCCAAACAGTGTTCAAACAGTGCCAAACAGTGCACTCCACAATAAAGTCAAATTTATTTTCTTAATATGTGTGAAGTCAAATGTGGAACTTGTTTCAGAAACGGAGGGAGTATTATCAATGCTAGCCCTAATGATTATTTTCAGCCATCAAGAGGTATGAAACAAGGTGATCCTCTATCACCATATTTGTTTATCATAGCCTCTGAAGGCTTTTCAAGGGGATTGAATTGGCTTATGAACAAAGGAAGAATCAAGCCTTACTGGATGGGGTGCTCGGGGTACCCATTATCTCATTTGGGTTTTGCAGATGATCTCCTGATCTTCCTAAATGGTGACTCCAGGTCTCTTCTAAAATTTAAACATTTTTTAGAATGTTATCAGGAAGTTTCAGGCCAAACTGTAAATCTAGATAAGAGTGCTTTTATATGTGGAAAAACTACCTCTATCAGACAGGCCAACATTAAGAATCTTCTGGGGATGAAGATGTCTTCACTACCTTTAAGGTATCTTGGGGTGAATCTGCATAAGGGAATGAACAGATTTCAATATTGTGGACAGATTATACAACAGTTTGAGAATAAGCTAACTCCTTGGAAACAGAAAAATCTGTCACAAGGGGAAGACTTATACTTATCAAGCATGTTCTCAATTCAATCCCTCTCCATGTTTTGGGTGTTGATTTACTGCCTAAATCAGTTGTGAAGGTGTTAAATAACAAAATGACATCTTTCTTTTGGGGATTCTCAGCTTCAAGAAAGAAACATCATTGGATTAAATGGGATAAACTTTGTCTTCCCACTACTGAAGGGGGTTTGGGCCTTAGATCTTTATGTGATATTGAAAAGGCTTTTACAGTTAAACTGTGGTGGAAGTGGAAAACAATCAATTCAATTTGGGCTAATTTCATTAGAGCTCGTTATGATAGAAGTGGGAACATGATACCTAAAGTCTATGATTCACCTGTATGGAGAAGGATCCGCTTCATTGATGAATATGCCTCCTCCTTATGCACTATCAGCTCATCTGGAAATCACATCTGGAATGAAGAAGAACATGGAAACTTCACTTTCAAATCTGCATTTGAGGAAGTTAGAACCCAATCAGTATCTAACTTTTCTTACCAGCACATATGGCACCCAAGACAAGAATTAAAGGTTAAAATTTTCCAGTGGAAAGTTATCAAACATATCCTTCCTTTTAGTGATAACCTTGAAAGGTTTAAAATGGTCTTAAATCCATCCATGTGCCCTATCTGTAGAAAACAGGAGGACTCCCAGAACCATGTTTTATTGCAATGCTAAGTGATTAGACCAGTTTGACAGTATTTTATGGGAATAATGGGCATTCCTTTTAATCATGAGCAATTACCTTTGCTATTTAGATCTTGGTGGCTTAAGGCAGGTAACAGAAGTTTGGTTGATATTTTTCGACACAATCTCTCGGGAATTATCAACTGGCAAATCTGGAAAATATATTCCAATCAGATCTGGGGAGATGGAGGGCCTATTCCAACTACGGATAACATTATACAACACATAAAAAATTATACACAAAATTGGGTATGCAGCTTTCTTAATATGAAGCTACGCTCAATAGGGCAAATATTGTTTGAAGAGCGGTTAATCCCTATAAATTTCAAGCTGGGAAGCACGGGTTTTCAGATTATTAGATGGAGGAAACCAAAAATTAAAAATAAGTTGAATATTGATGCGAAATACTTAGCTGGCCAGGCTTCAGGGGGTGCGATTATGCGGAAGCCAAACGGAGAAATGATGAGTGCCATAGCCTTCCCGTTGCAAGCTTCATCTCCGTTGGATGCGGAAGTTCAGGCCATTCAATATGCAGTACAGTGGGCGGTGGGGGAAGGTTTTGATGCATTTCATATTGAATCTGACTGCTATCTTGCGGTACAACTTTTTTCAGGTCGAGAAGCTAGAAGATGGATCGATGTGGTTCAGGAAACCTTACAGATGCTAATCAGGAAAGATGTGGATTTCCGACATACATACCGGGAAGGGAATTGGGCCGCACGTTACTTGGCAGACTACCAGGCCTCCGATCTTATTGTTTTTAATAGCCCATCTCATTTGCCTATTTTTGTTAAAAGAGCTTACTTGATGGATGTTTTTGGTATCCCTTCTTTTAGATTTTAGTTTTCTTTTGTTAATTTTGGGTAAGGTCTAGTCCCCCCAAAGTTTTCTATTCTGTTGGTTATGTTTTGATTGTTACTTCAAAGTGATTTTGGTTTGATCCTCCTCTCTTCTGTATCATCTTATTATTTTAATAAAATCCGACAAATGTTCTCCGACATTTGTTCCACTGATTTTGGTGGTTTGCCTTCCGGATTAAAAAAAACGAAAACAAAAGGTCGAAGAATAGAAAACAGAAATAAAAAATTGAGAAATCCCTACTCGTAAACGAAAACAAAAGTTATAAACCTTCCAAAGGGAGGAATCAATTCATCAGAAATATACAAGAACTTCAGGGGTGTCAGAAAAATTATTTCCGGCTCACATGACAAAAATCAACTGCTGGGGCCCACTTTCCGACCTTTCAAAGAATAGTCGCCGAGTAAAAAGACCGTCGCTCTCACAGCCCGTACAGCTAAGAAGAAAATCTAGAGAGAGAGATATAATCCCCGTCGGCGGTGGTAACGGACCTCTGAGTTTGATCGGCTATGGCTACCTCCTCCGACCGCGAGAACTTCGTCTATGTTGCCAAGCTCGCCGAGCAAGCCGAACGATATGACGGTTAGGGTTTTCCCACTTTCCTCTTTCTATCATAATCTGTACGTACGTCTCTGCGTATCAGCATCCAGAGATATCAATTTCGGATTTTATTGCTTAATTCCGCTGAATCCTTGTTCGTCTGCTCTTGTAATTCCGAAAATAATGAAAAGATCGGACAGAGCCACTTCAAAGCAGGACTTTTATCACGAGATCCTGTCTTTTATTTCCAACTAACATCTAAACTTCATCTTTTCCAAGTAAAAAATAGAAGAATTATTTATTCCTATTTAGTGCCTTTTGTGGCGATTGGACCAGGACTGAATCTAGTAGGATAACTTGTAGATACCCTACCCATTTATTTCCCATCCCATATTCCTTTAAGAAGTCCCGTCCCAACCTGTTTTAGATCCCAAATCTCCCAGTCTTCCCATCCCATTTAAGAAAAATGCGCTCAAACCCTTTCCCTTTAGGGTTTTCTTGGATGCATGGGTTTGGAGGGGAAGTCTTAGTTTTCGTATTAACATGTGTATGTATTTGAGATTATATAGACGTTTAAAGATTGACACAATATATAACCCCTTAGCGTTTCTATCACTCCTGTGTTTATTTAGAAACATTCTATTCCTCAGGAATCTGGATATATACCATAAATCTTTCAAATCCTTCTCCCTCAAGATCCCCCAACACCTTCCATCCACGTATAGGAATCAGACACACGTTTACTATCTTATTATGCCCCGTTTGTCAAATATATTTGCTTAAACCCATCTCATTTCCTAAGCCCAAATAGCTAGCAATTTCAAGTAATAAATAATCACTTATTCCAATATAACTTTGAAGGACAAAAATTTGAGCTCTACCCACAACTATATATAGGCTTTATTTATACTAATTCTTTATGTGTTGTGTATTGGACTCTTTTCATGCCAGTATAATTTGTATGTAAGGGCTATTAAGTTAATCTACACCAGGTTTTGTAGAGCGGGTAACACTACACCCAGTTGTCAAACCCATATGAAATTCTGTTAGGGATTTTTTTAATGCCTATCTGAGGCGATTTCTGGTATCATTTTATAACCAATCCATTTCAAATTTGCCACCCCTAACTCTGTAACTTAATATATTTATACATATTAACCTGTTACAATGTGTAACACGATAATGACAGAGATGGTGGATGCTATGAAAAGTGTGGCAAAAATTGGTGTGGAATTAACAGTAGAGGAGAGGAATTTACTGTCGGTTGGTTACAAGAATGTGGTCGGAGCTCGGAGGGCATCCTGGAGGATCTTATCCTCTATTGAGCAAAAGGAAGAGTCAAGAGGAAATGAACAGAACGTGAAGAGGATCAAAGAGTATAGGCAGAAGGTAGAGATGGAACTGTCCAACATTTGCAGTGACATCATGACTGTTATCGATGATCATCTTATCCCTGCTTCCTCTACTGGAGAGTCTACAGTTTTTTATTACAAGATGTGAGGAGTGGATATGTGACCAGATTATTCTGTCTTTTAGTTACTTGTCAGTTTTTGGGCGATTATGTGTTCAATTTTACTTTTTAATTGCAGGAAAGGAGATTATTATCGGTACCTTGCCGAGTTTAAAACTGGTAATGACAAGAAAGAGGTTGCCGATCTTTCTCTGAAAGCATATGAGGTACACATTATTATAGTTTAGGGAAAATTCCAGCAATATTACTAAAAGAAAGACAACTTCCCTAAATATGACTTAAAAACCTAATGGACCAAAAGATGACTCAAATACACTGTACATGACTACCACCTCATCAAAATTGAAGTAAAATGACCTCATTACCCTAACATGTCTGTATCCGTAGATTTTAAAGGAAAAAGGATTTTTTTATAAACGCAAACCAGAGAGACTTTGTAGGCGCGAGATACTGAAAATTAATTGCAGTAGAAAAGGAGAAGAAAACACTTCAGTTAGCTTCTATAGACGTATATCAAAGGAGGCGGACGGCGTGTGAAAATAGAGTGTGAGTCGAACGAAAGAAAGTGATGGTGGACATAAAGAGGATGGCGGAGCGGTGGATGCAATAAAGAGGAAGACACCAGCATTTCGGTGACGGCGAGTGCCGCAAAGGGTTGCGTAGGGTTAGGGTCTCATGCACTGATCGGAATTGAGATTATTACAGTAGGGCAGTATGCTGTCATTAAATGCTTACTTGAACCAATTGTGAAATATGTTTAACCAGAATGTAACAGGTAGGGCAGTAATGCACCCCGTAACTTAGAACACATACAAGCGTATATAGGTAAAAGAAGGCAGATGCACATTGCAGACAAAATATAGGCAGTAATTATGCGAATGGGAGATCCAAGGCCAGTATAAGCAGTATATATATGCTGAGTGATACACGTAGGATGTGTCACTGCCCAGAATCGAGGGCATTAGTCTGGTTGACTAACACTATGGGCATTATAAGCACTATATAGGCATTAAGGTGTTACATAAATAGTTTGGGCAGTATAAGGCATTATAGAAGCATTGCATTGGGTAAGAGGAAGTTTAGTGAATTATAAAAGTAAGGCAGCAATGACTGGCCCTTATGGAAGAACAACATAACATATGGCATCCAAAGTATTTTTAAATTAAAAGGTGGGAGGGTATTCAATATTTGGACGTGAATAAGGTCCATGTGTTGTCCAAGTATGTTGTGAGAAGCAAAGGCAAAAAAATAAAAAATTATAATAATAATGCTGCAGTTACATTTATGGTATAAGCCCTGTTTTTTAGGCTTTGTGATTAATTCAGAATATGCACTCGTGATCATAATGGCCGAAAAACAAGCTGACGGTTCCACTTTTATTTCCCAAAACCCGTTTGAGGGTACTAAGGGTACCTGCAGGAATAATAATAATTTATATAATTACATCAAATGATAGCATCTCATTCACGCGTCACTCTAGGAAAGAAAACTATCAAGTCATTGATTGGGAATTTGTCTTTCTTTTAGTCACACGAATGATAATTATCTCTATAGTTTATCACTTTTAGGCAATGCCTGGATCATGAAATTTTCTAGGGAGGGGGGGGGGGGGGACATTGCCAAAGGAAGTTATTTATTTATATTTATTTTTTATCTTGAAAATTGCGAATGGAAGTTACAAATAGTAAAAATTCAAATTGTATAGCATATGCTTTGTTTTCTCGGTCTTTATCTTATTGGAATAAATAACTAAAAGTAGTTTGACCAAAATATAAAGAATAATGTAGTTGAGCTCGAGACTTTGAGTCAACCTTTTATCTTCCTCCAAGTTTTTCTTTCCTACCAATTTTATTTCTGCCCCTCATTTTGATTCCCTCATATTTCCGGAGTTCCAAAATCCGTAGCTTCCGCATGATATGCATTGTCCAGTTTTCGTTGTTTCATATTTTGCGGCAAAGAGCTGTCATTCAACATCATAGGAAATACAAAAACTGTTTTGCTCATAATTAGCTCATGATATTGTGGTTGTTTAGAATCTAGTAAGCTGTTTCTTATTTTTATTTATCTTCATACTTTGTATTTGATTGTTCTATCCGGAGGCTAGTGTAAGATTATAAAAATTGTAATTCTCCAAATTTATTTATATAATTACATTTATTATTTACTTCTCACATGTCCTATTTTTCTTCCATTTCCTTTTTAGGAAACATTTGTATACTTATTATTGTATTTCTTGATTTCTTCTTTTCACCTCAACACAACTGTACATTTTCATTATTTTAATAAGTGTGCTAAGTGAAGTTAAGAAGAAAAGTTTGAGAGGGATTCTGTACATTGATATGTGCTCATTCATTCATTGTTCTATTTTCTTGTAGATGGCTACTAGTTCAGCTGAAGCCGAGTTAGCACCTACACATCCCATATGCTTGGGATTGGCTTTGAATTTTTCTGTTTTCTTTTACGAAATCATGAACTCTCCCGAAAGGTGCTATTTCCATCTTGTAAATGGTCCTGTTGTGCACAAAGCGCTTCAACCTATGTTGCACGGAAACGCGAAAATTATGATGAAATGGGAAACGGGAAACGTCAACTTTTGCTCAAAAAACGTTTGTTTGGAGAGTTTCCAAAGAGTTTCCGTAGAATTTCTGAAACGGAAATGTACTCTTTCCTGAGAGTTTCTGTGCTACATAGGTTCCAACTAAACTTGTTGAGCATATTTGACTTGAGAAACTTGTTCTAGTTTTTTAAATACAAGTCACATTCTTTTTTATTTATTTTTAATGATTCAGGGCCTGTCACCTTGCCAAACAGGCTTTTGATGAGGCAATTTCTGAACTGGATACCCTGAACGAGGAGTCCTACAAAGACAGTACACTGATAATGCAGCTTCTACGAGACAATCTCACCTTATGGACTTCTGATATCCCAGAGGATGCAGGTAAGTGTATTCATTGTTTTCACTGGGATGTAGTTTTTTCTACTGTTCCCCAAATCTTGCCTTTGTTTTGAGCTTTCTTCCATCTTTGTTTTCACTGGGATGTAGTTTTTTCTACTGTTCCCCAAATCTTGCCTTTGTAGTATTATACTTTTTTATAGTTACACCTCAAGGTTTGGGTTAAATGAATGAAATTTTAGCCAAATTTTACCACATCAAAATGGATCTTACTTTGAGTTTTCAATAAAATTCCAAATCATACTCGGTATCCCCAATACATATTTATGGTTCATACTTTTGACAGAAGATGCTCTTAACAAAACTGGAGGTGGTGATGATGCCGAGGTGCGTATGTTGTGAATTACTTCTCCTGTCACTAAAATAGTTTTTATATTTTCCTTTATTGTCGTTTGTTTCTCTATTTGATAAAAATGTACAACATCTGTCCCAAATAATCATGTTTGACCATTGCAACAAACGTTTGTGGTAAGGCACACCTTCTTTCATAAACCATGAATAATAAATATTTTTTTGAAATTGATTTGTTAACTACATTTATCATATATACTTCTTCTCTGGTAATTTGTGGAAAAAAACATGTAAAGTAGCTTCACTTTATCAAAACCAACAATTTTTATTTGGACCAAAAAGTTTGGAATTGGAAAGAGGGGATTAGGTCTGAACTTATGGTGATACTCTGCTTTAATATCCCCATGAACCACCATTAACTACACCCCACCACTAAATTGCAAAGCTGGAATGCCATGTCAAAGTGTGAATGTTATTGTGGGACGGATTATGGATTAAATTGGTTCCCAGCAAAAAATTCTTAGTGATTGAGTGTATCTCATTTGCGGTGTTGTTGGTTGCAGTGATATGGCGACAAGTGATACCTTCCATTTGTCTTTGGATAAGAGAGAATGAGGATCCACTGTAGGGGGCGTGTATGTTTCTTAAGTTATTATTACATGTACCTTATTGTTGTTGCAACTTTGTAATAGCTTTGCTTTGTCTTTCGAGTTGGGAGTCAACACTTTGTTTGATTTGGCATCGGCATTCGTTTTTATGTTTACACAGCAAATGGTTTTTTAGTATTCGAAAGAATATTGGTTTTGCATGTTGGTGGTTTTGTTTTCACGTCCTGGCACAGAACTTTGCCTGTTTGCTTCTCATTATGCTTCTCATTTAAACTTTCCAACTTTTCTCATGATTTCAGTATAACCCACATTGTGCTGATCACTTTTTCTAATCAAGCTGTAGTCAGCAAGGCCCCTTGGGGCAATTTTAACTCCTCAGCACTAGCACTCTTTACCATCAACATTGCCATATTCCTTGTAGAGTTTAGGGTTGGCTAATATGAATTAGCGTATGATACTAGACTAGAGTTAAAGGGTTTATTACCCTAATAAGACTATATTGTTGCTAAAATTTCTAAACAGGAGTATGTATATTTTTATTATTTAAATATGATTTTATTCCATACTTGCCCTTCCTAATATAAAATATTGCCCACATAGTTCCCTTGCATAATCAAAGTGAGTCCGTTGGCAGCGTGATTAGTCTGGTGGTGGACCTCCAGCGGTGGTCTGTGGCGGCAGGATCTGCAGTGTTAGGCAGATATGCAGTGGTGGCTGGCGGAGGCTAGATCTATGGTGGCAGCTAGTTGTTGGGAACGGTTATGTAGCTGCTTGGGGTTTGGGGGCGAGGGGCGAGGGCACAAAAATATTATAAATACCTCAAATTCTTATCTTTTTTTGACACTTCTATGCTATTCTACTCTCAATTTCTCATTCTTTTCTCTATTACCGTCAATCGCTAATAGTTCATACTCATAAATATGTATATATTTATATCTAGAGGGTAGATCATATCAGGCCGGTTTGATGGGAATCGCCGTCAAGCCAAAGCCATTTGGGGTTCTTGGTGGAATTTTTTGAGCATTTCTTCATCAAATCTAATTTATGTTCATCAAATTTTAAATTTTTAACTAGACTTGATGAAAAACATTTTCAAAAAAATTCATCAAAAAATTTAACCAAAAAATGTCTCAAACGGGCTCGGCTATGGATGGACCTAGTCATGGACTTGGGCCGGGCCTAGGCCCGGTCGGGCCGCCGGTTCTAGGGATGGATTCGGTTCGGGCCACCCGGCCTGGCCCGGTACTGTGCGGGCCCGGGACCGGCCCGGTCGGGCGGTCCGGGACCGAGTACGGACTCGAACCGGTGGGAAGGGGCGGGGCGGGCTCGGTGCTGGATTATTGTGACCCGGCCCGGCCGTGTCCGGGTCTAATTTTATTTTTTGTTTGTTTGGGCTACTAGCCGTTGGGGGTGGGGCTGGGGACAACCCAAACGGCTATATAGCCGTTGGGTGGGGTAAAGGGGGGGTCCGGGGGGGTTGGCTGCTGGGGGTGGTGGTGGGGGGTAAAAAAACCTATAAATACTCCTAATCTTAAACATTTTTTCATATCTCTTCTCTAATTCTTCCTAAATCCTATTCTTAACTCTCTACTCTCTAATTCTCTTATTCTCCAATATATTATATTTATTATTTATATATCTACTTTATAGTTAATACTTAAGAAGTTAAGATGGAAAATCAAGATGCCATTATACGGTATAATTTTGATAAGCAGAAGGACCCGAACACCGGGATGTGGTACGCAATTTGCAAATGGTGCGAGAAAAAATGTAGCATGGGGGGTTCTGACGGATTCGGAATGACAATCAAACATATGAAGTCATGTGACAAAGCCAAAGGATCGGGAGGTGCGGGAAGTTTCGATTGATTACAATTTTCAAAATGTTTATCTATTAAAGTTTGTTTTAATTTTCAAATGTAGTTCCTATTTCATTTCAAATAAATGCAATTGAAGTTTGTTTTTAATACTCGTATAAAACTATAAACTATAAAATATAAATTATATATATAAAAAAATTTAACCGGCCCGGCCCGAACCGGATCCGACCCGTGACCCGGGTGGGTGACCCGGACCTGACCGGACCCGTCCAACCCTCGGGCCGGTCCCGGGCCCATGTCATACTACCCGGCGGCCCGACCGGGCCTAGGCCCGGCCCGAGTCCATCGATAGCCGGTTCGTATCATATGGGCCTGGGACCGGCCCGAGGGTTGGACGGGTCCGGTTCGGGCCAGGCCACCCGCCTGGGTCACGGGTCGGGCCACCCGCCGGGCCGGGCCGGGCCGGGTCGGTTAAAGTTTTTTTTTGTTTTTATAATTTATATTTTATATTTTATAGTTTTATACAAGTATTAAAAACAAACTTCAAGTGCATTTATTTGAAATGAAATGGGAAATACATTTGAAAATTAAATAGGAACTACAATTGAGAATTGAAGGTAAAATTAAAACATGAAATACTAATCAATCATTCAATCGGAATCTCCGGCATAGGTAGAGCCACCTCGATTGTAGATTCATCCATAAAGTGTTGTGATGGGGTGATGCCAATTTCTTGAGCTCTACGGGTTGCTTTCAACCAATCGTGGTAGCATATAAGCATCTCAAGAGATTCTGCGCTCAACCTCGTTCTGGTTTGCGTTAGGACATTGCCGGCCGAACTAAACTCTTGTTCCACGGCAACCGTTCAAACCGGCATTGATAGCACTTGCTTAGCCATCTTTGCTAAAACCGGGAACATTCTTTCTTTTCCCTTCCACCAGTTTAGTACGTCAAAATCATCTTCTTCAAAATCAACATCATATGTTAATTACAAAGAAATCTCATTAATTGTGCTTTGTTGTGTAGCGGGAGTTGATTTTGTTTTTTAATAAGATTGACAAACTTAGATTTGAAAATTGATTTTCCTTTAGATGATGTTTGTGTCGGGGGAGGGGGCGCATTGCCTTATTGTGCATGAAACTCATTGAATAATGCATAAAATGTAAAAAAGTAATTAACTATTAATCTAACTATTAATTCGAGTTACAGCAAATTAACTAGTGAATTAACTAGTTTTTTTTTCAAATAACGTTAATACAAAATTAAACAAGTGTAAATAATAGAATATTTTCGTACATCTTTCGAACTTTCGGTCTTTCGGATGGGAGTAATAGAATGACTTCAAATTAATTAGATATAATTCCAACTATATTAATAGATATAATAAATATATAAGTAATATATAATTAGATAACAAATATAAGTAATATAATACTATAATGTATGTATTTATAAATTATAAGTAGATAATTAATTAATATAAAATATAAATAATAAATATAATATATTGGAGAATAAGAGAATTCGAGAGTAGAGAGTTAAGAATAGGATTTAGGAAGAATTGGAGAAGAGATATAAAAAAATGTTTAAGATTAGGAGTATTTATAGGTTTTTTTACCCCCACCCTCCACCCCCCACCCCACCCCCCCACCCCCAACCCCCTGCACCCAACCCAACGGCTATATAGCCGTTTAGGTTGTCCCCAGCCCACCCCCCAAGGCCATAACGGCTAGTAACTATTTAACAATTTTTTTTAAAAAAAATAGGACCGTTGGACCCGGGCCCGGGTCCGTGCCCGCCCCGCCCATTCCCACCGGTTCGGGTCTACTCCTGGTCCCGGACCGCCAGACCGGGCCGGTCTCGGGTCCGCACAGTAACGGGCCGGGCCGGGTCACGGGCTGGGTGGCCCGAACCGAATCCACCCCTAGATGGATTCGTGAAGGGGAGGCCCGGAACCGGCCCGGGTAACCCCCGGGACCGGGCCGGGCCGGGCCTCGGTTCTAATTTTTTTTTTGGCTTTTCCTAGTTAACCCCCAACCCTTCCCCCTCACCATCAAACCAACTCTAACCACCTCAAATGGCCCAAAATACCCAGCCCAACCCAAAAACTTAAAAAAAAATCAAAAAAAAAAGAAAAAAATTGGCCCAGCCCGGGCCCGAACTGACCGGGCCGGTTCACCTTTTGAAGGGCCCAAGCCCGAACCGCCATCCCACTGGGCTGGGGGGCCCGAACCGGCCAACCAACCGGTTCACCGGCCCGGCCCGGGCCCGCACAGTAGCGGGCCGGCCCGGTTCCGGGCCGGTTGGCCCGACCCAAGTCCAACCCTAGGCTCGGCCGGACGACAAGTCCTGTCAGGCTGGCCTGACAGGATGGCTACTTAGTATATCTAATACATATTTATAGATTCATCATTTCATATATGTGTATGTTATAAATATTCATACATTCATATACTTCGTATAATATTAGATTATTATAGCTAGAAAGTTAGCAAGTTTTATAACGGTACTTATATAGTACGTAGTATTTATGGATGGACTCGAGCCGGGTGGCCCGACCCGGAACCGGCCCAGGACCGGCACTGTTCCGGCCCGACTCGGAACCGGCCCGGGATCGGCACTGTTCCAGTCCGGCCCGACCCGGTGGCCCGATCAGTGGCCGGTCCGGGTAGGCCTGACCCGTGGGTTTTCCGGTCCGGGCTCGGGTCACCCAAAACAAGGCCCGACCCGGCCGGGCCCAGGCCCGGTTCGGGCCAAAACTATTTTTTTTTTCAATTTTTTAAAAATTTTTGGGTTGGACTGGGTATTTTGGGCCATTTGGGGTGGTTTGGGGGGTTGGGGGTGGGAGGGGGGTTAATTAGGAAGAGGGAAAAACATTGATAATGGGCCCGGCCTCGGACCGGACCCGGTGATTACCCGGGCCGGTCCTGGGTCCACCACTCCTGAACCGCCGGCCCGCCCGGGATTAGGCCCGACCCGGACCCGGCCCGGACCCGAGTCCACCCCTAGTAGTATTAGATATCACCTATCACCTCCATTCTATTAACATTGTGACACGAGAAGAAAGTGTAGTTGTTAAGAAAAGTGAGTTATGTGGTTGATATTTTTTTTGGAAGAAGGTGACTTATATTAAATTAACAGAATGTAAGCAGGACATAAAACAACAAGAAGTCTTATGTCTGCCGTTCACCTTCGAATCGGACTTAGGATGTTTTATTTGAGACTAAAATTTGATGGTCCTGTCTGGTCTGAAGTGGTCTGGTAAATGTCTGGTGTTTGTGTATTTTATAACTATGAAAACCTGGTCTAGTTTGATATAATCTAGTCTGATCTGGTCTGAGATTGAAAATAGTCCAAAAGAAGACATCTGTAGAAGCAATCAAATTCAATGATCCTGTATTGAACTTAACTGAGTCATTGATAGACAAATCAAACTTCCCATCACCTCTCTTAAGTTTTAAT